CCAGCACCATAACCTGTCCCCAGGGACACTTTCCCGGAGACAAGCCCTCACCCCTTCTGCAGTTTTCTAAGGACTGAAAGCATTGGCAGAACCAGGGAGCCCAAAAAAGAGGCTCCCCACAAAATCCCATCTAGATCGTCCCCGTGGCGGCCTCCAGTGTTCTGGGCCTTCACGGAAACAGTGTCAGAGGAGCAAGAGCTACGGGAGGCTGTGCAGAGCAAGGGGGTTTTCTCCCCATTCCTGCAGCATCGAAACCCCAGACTCCTGTTTCAGTAACTGTTGAGTGTAGGGTGTAAGTAAAACCACGCCTGGTGGCGCGTGATGAGACGCGGCCGCGGAGGCTGGCTGCAGCCTGGGGTGTGGACACCGGCGTGTGGCATGCTGGGTAGGACGGGAAGGCAAGGGTGAGGGCAGCCCAGGAAGGCTGCTGCCCCCACCCCCTGGAGCCCCATGCTCAGCCCTGAGCCGGCGTGGTCCCGTCCCCAGGGCCTGCACTCTCCTCTCCTTGCAGAGCAGTCCACGGGGCTCCAGCAAGAGACAGCCCATCCACCCCTCCCTCGGTAAGTGGCACAGGTGTCGTGTACGCCTTTAATCACTGGGCCATGTGAATGACAAGGTAGACAAGTTGATCACTGACGACGTCCCACTGTCCATCTCAACAGCCCCCTACCTCCACCTTGCTGTAAGGGAACCAATAACCCTCACACCCAGTCACCTACCAGAACCACCACGGGTCTCCCTAAACACAGATCCTCAGGCTGCCTCCCCGACTCCGCCCCGCCAGGGGCCCACGGAGGGGGGGGGGACCAGGAGGCGGAGCCTCCCAGAGGCCGCCCAGAGGATTCCCTTTGGCAGCACCTAGCTTTTCAGCGTTCCCCTTCCTTGCATCATGTCTGAACAGGAAACCCTTGAAGAAAACCAAAGTACCCAAGACCACCAGGGAATGAAACGGCCACTTGACATGGAATGATCGACGTTTCTTCAGCGACCCAAAAACCCTAACGCTATTTTCATGCGGCCTCGTCTCCGCCGGTCTAATCTTTCTTGTCATGACTGGGCTGTGGCGGTCAGCAAAGGGATCACGTCGACATGCACACACGCTCCTTGTGTCACGGGGCTTGTGACAGCAGAGCAGGGCATCGAAGCCATGCCCCGCTTCAGGGAGCACTGTTCAGGGAGCCGCCAGGAGCACTGTGCTGACTGTGGGCGGTCAGCGGCCCCCGTCAGTGAAGACCTTCTGGAAATGCCTCGAGCCAGCAAGACCACGGGTGGAGCAGGCAGGCAAGCCAGGTGCACACAGAACACACAGTGCGTGGCCCTCGCTGTACTGGTGACGAAGCCAAGGTCACCCTGCTCTGAGACCTAGCACCATGAAGTGGGAGCTTTAGCTGCTGTCCCCACAGATAGGACGTGCCTCTGACCCAACCAGCTCCACAGGGACGAGGATGGGGAGACCCCTTGCCTCGCACTGAATGGAGCTTGAGATCTCTCTGTTGAATCTACGGGTTTTCCAGGGCCCGACCCTACTGTTCACCTGAGCAGCTACTCAGTAGCTCTAAGGGAACGGAGCACATCTAAGGAGCTGAACGGGACAGTAAGCCTGCTTCTCCAGGAAGGTGCAGCATTCATAGGCCCCCCAGGCGACCACGGCACCCCCACCCTCAGGACCTCGTCCCCTCAGGGGCAGGGAGGGTCATCACCTCACTGGGATTTCCGAGGGAGGAATAACAACAGAAGTCCCCCTGCTGGGCCATGCACAGTAGGCGCTAAGACTCAGACTACGAAGGGGAGGTGTCTAACCTGGGCAAGGGATGGAATTGGATCCCGGAAGATGGAGGAAATGGATTGGTCACAGGGAGGGCCCAGCACGAGCCCACAAAGGGTGGGGAAAGAGATTGGTCAGTTTGAAAGCCCGAGATAACATCACTGAAGCTTATCAAAGGCCGCTCTCAGTCACACACACGCCTGTCCCTTGCAGTCTCCCTGCGGCAGCCACTTGCGAGCCCAGGTCCCAGCGCAGGCCTGGGGACCACAGTGCAGCACCCGGAGCGCAGCAGGAACAGGGACCGAGGCAGCGGACCAGGACAGAGCCTGAGCTGCACTGAGCTCTGGCATGGACTGAAACAATGGCACAGAATTTCTGGACCCGAGTCCTCCTTCTGGGCTTGATGAAGACAGGGGTGGGCTTCTTTCCCAGCGGAACAGACAGGGATGAGACACCGGGAACCGGGGGGCAGCCTTTTATTTCTATTGCAATAAGTCTTACAACTACAGCCCTGGCCAGTTTGACTCAGTGGTTAGAGCGTCGGCCTGCAGACCAGAGAGACCCGAGTTCGGTTCTCGCTAAGGGCATGTACATCGGTTGCAGTTTGTCCCCAGCTCTGCTTGGGGTCGTGTGGGTGGCAACCCGTCGATGTGTCTCTCTCACATTGATGTTTCTCTCTCTCTCTCCTTCCCGCTCTCCCTCCCGCTCTATCTGAAGACAGATGCAAAAATGTTCTTGGGTGAGGATAAAAAAAAAAATTTTTTTTTTTTAAATCTTACCACTACGTCTCATCCTCCCATACGACTACGTGGAAGAAACCCATTTCTATCAGAAACTCTAGTGCAGAGTTTCCTAAAAACGGGGTGAGCTGTGGTCGACAACCCAGAACCCCAAGAAGCCAGCTCCTTGGGCAGGAGTCCGCGGGCGCCTCTCGGGGCCTGTGGGGCCCACGTGCATGGAACCCCAGCAGCAGTGCAGGAGGCTCCGTGGCAGACGGGCTCGCACAGAGGCAGGCGGCGAGGGGGCCCGGATGAACGGACAAAGGAGGGGCTCTGAAGAGCTCCCAGCTGGGCCCTCGAGGGGGCGAGGCTCGCTGCAGACGGAGAGAGGCTACTAGGAAAGGAAGCGCAGGTGGCACTGTCTTGGCACGGGGGCCCTGTGAGTGCTGAAGAAGGTCCTGATCCGCCCGCAGAGCAAGAACAAGGCCACTTAGACCAGGGCTGCGGGTCTCGCCTGGGGAAGTTCTAAAAGGAACCTCTGTTCTAAGGGTCACCTTGACCTGCTTCTACAAGCTGTGGCTTGGCCACCAGGAGGCGCTCCAGTGGCCGGCTGACCGTGTGCAGAACTATGCAGTCTTGGGGCCGAGGGCACAGACGGGAGCCAGCATGCTCCTAGGCCTGACCCTTCCCCTCGAGAGCTGCATGAGAAGCGTAGCCCCTGGTGCCTCTGGAGTGCAGCTTCTCCAAGTGGGCGCCGGTGCGCAGTGCCTGGGCCCGCCCCTGAAAAGGCACCCCCTGGTTCGTGGTGGAAGGTGGACTCTTCCGACTGCAAGTGCCCCACTCTGCGTAGAAAATCCAGCTGTTTGAACACCCTTGGAAGTTTCTAGCCCAGGCAGAAACAGTCCCCCTCCCTCACGTCCTGTCTGCTCCTGAGCACCCGGAGCCCTGGCAGACGCCCGGCTCCCCGGGAGCTTCGCAGACTCTCCGGGAAGCGCAGGTGTGAGCTCCCAGTCCTCGGCCCAGCAGGATGGCCCCGTTCTGTTTCCACCAATAGATTATTTAGCTGGGCACATGTTTAAGTAGCAGAAACTTCTTAAATTTCTCTCCCGGTGCGTCTTCTAAACAACACTTGAAGCTTAAGAAGCATCCACTCAGAGTTCAAACGTCATCCTCCACTCCTGTTTCCAACCACATCTAGAGTTGCCCTTTTCCCTCATTTATATTTCAAAGGGAATCGTCTGATAGGACCCTCTTCCAAATCTCCTCCCTGCCCCTACCCCCACCCCAGACCCCAGCATGGTGGCTCGTCTGGTGGAAGGACATGTGACAAGGTAACTAGAGAAAAGTCACGGAAGCAGTGGTTTGCTTGAATGTGTCCTTAGGTGACCACACTTGGTGCCGGGTGGGAGGGAGCCCCTTCATCACCCCAAGACCCCCACTCAGGTCCGGTGGCAGGGGTTGACAGGCAACATTCTTCACAGCCTGGCAATGACTCTCTTCCTCCGGCCACCTCTGAGTCAAGGGACCGGCCCTTAGAAAGGGGACCTGTCACACCTCTCCCCCGTCCCTCCCAGCACCAGCTCAAATGCGTCAACGAGGGCAGCCCTGGTGGGAGACCAGCACGTCTCCGTTTCCGACCGGCCGGAGGGAGCGGCGTGAGCTCGCAGTGTGTCACACAAGCCCGTCTTTGTGCCGCAGACCCTCGTATCTTCCCGCCTGGCTACCTTGGCTGCCACTAAAGCATCACCTAGGTCCCCTCCTGACACACGGCGGAGCATGTGAGAGCCCCCCTTCCCCCGGAGGCCTGCGGGGCACACAGCATGGCAGGATGTGTGGGTTGCACTGATCCCTCTGCAGCCTGAGAACTCAGCCGTCTGCGCCAAGACGGGCTGCAGGGGCAGCGCCACCTCCGAGAACAAAGCTGGGACCGTCTGACCCACGTGCTGGTGGAAACCCAATCTATGTCCCGCTTTTCCAGAAGCCGAAAGGGGACAACGCCCATCCTTACTGGAGATGCCGTCATGGGATCGTACAAAGGTGCTTCTCATTGAAAGTTGTATTTCTACGAGTCAGAAAATGGTGCTGGTGATGCAGAGCCTGCCCACTATAATTTTGGATGAAAAGAATTGTATTTTCTGCATACAAACTCTAATTCATTCATGGGTGACAACCAACACTGACTCTGTGTCAGAAAATTAACATGCTGCGTCTTCACGGTTCCTAACTGTTCTAAACAAATGTCCTTGAGAAGGACACACCCGTCGGCATTGGCCTAACAACCAGCAACATCGACACACATGCATCTCCCAGGACCCCAACCTTCTGCAACCCACTGCGAGCTGGACATCTCCCTGGGGATTCTAACAGACACCTCAAGATCTACAAGCCCCAGTGAAGCTTCTGGTCTTCCCCCACCCAAAACCCGCTACCAAGGACCAACAACACCTCATGTCCTGGCTCTGTTCCCTCCGGGGTGATCAGATGACCTGGAGGTGAGCCACACTTCCATCATTCACCTAAAACCATAAGGCAAGGATTTTCAAATGGCCCCCAAAAAGTCCAAAAAGGGTGGAAACAGTCTGAATCACCTGCTGAGGTTGCTCACTGCTCTGTCGTTCAGGGATGTTGGAGTTGGAGGACTTTGAAGGGAGAGACAGGGTGTCTGAAACAGAAGAATGACATTTGAGTGATAAAACCAAGCTACACAGTCTAGCAACTCTGAGTTATGGAGCAATGCATTTGTGCTTAATACGCTACCCCTGGCATAAAATAACCCTTAACCATCCACAGACTGTCTTTAAAGTTCCTTTGAGGTTATATACTTTTAGAACTTAAATTTTCTAAAGGAGTAAAAATATGGCAAAAACAGGCTCAAAATCAATTCCTTTCTTGACACGTTTGTCTCTTGCTGAGATAAGGTGAATCCACAGCTTTAATTGCCGACCAACGAAAATAAACAAACACGGGGCGGGGTGGGGGGGGCTCAGGGAGCAGAGAGGTTTGGCTGGGGCTGTGATCCTGGTCAAGCTACTTAATTCAAACACTAATGAACAAATATTTGCTCACAAGAAATGGTGCCAGAAGCTGAGATCAGATAGCAAAGTAAACGGTCAACACCTCATGGAAGTCTTTAAAATCTGAAGCATGCAGTTTGGAATGTTCATGGGCGGCAGCCATGGCAAAGTGAAAAGAATAGTGTTGCTGAGAATGAAGTCCTGAATTCAGTGTGTGTGTGTGTGTGTGTGTGTGTGTGCTGGGGGTGGGGAGGTTCAGGCTTCTCAGCAAGACTCGATCAATTAAGAATCTTTCCATGGAACCTGTTTTGTCAGACCACTGATCAGGGCCAGGTGTCCCTCCCCAACTGCTAAGGGGAAATTTGTCTGCCTTACAAAAAGATATCGGTTGCCCTGGTCAGTTTGGCTCAAAAGTTAGAGCATTGGCCTGCAGACCAGAGAGTCATGAGTCTGATTCCTGGTCAAGGGCATGTACCTCAGCTGCAGGTTTGATTCCTGGCCCCTGTCAGGGTCGTGCAGGAGGTGCCAATCAATGCACCTCTCTCACATCGATGTTTCTCTCTCCCTTCCTCCCTCCCACTCTAAAAAAAAACAATGGAGAAGAAATATCCTCAGGTAAGGATTAACCAAAAAGGATCTCGGTTCAAATCCTACCCTTGCCTCTTACCAGTGGCCACGCCTTCTGAGAAGTCACCCCACGAGGGCTGTGTCTTCTCAAGGTAAGACACGGAGATGCTCAAGAAGACTTCGACAATTAGGCTGCGTCTGCGGACATGCTCCCACAGCCTGCAGAGGCACTCACCTGTGGTTCTCAGATCACCTGAACTGTATGTGCAGTTTTCATTTCCTCCTTTTAATTCTGGCTCAGAAGGGTCTTTGTTTGTCTTCACATCTGCAGATTTCCTAGAATTAAATCATTTTTAAAAACCAAATGTTAACCGGCGAGGGGTGTTTAGTTCCCACGGTTCCGCCCAGAGCATTTGCACTCATTGAATCTACCACAAGCCACAGCTGGGTCGCTGGGTCGCTGGCACGGGGGTGGGGTGGTGAGCCTCAGGATGGACACTCACAGCCACCCACACAGCTGTGTACGTGGCCTCCTTGTGTTCACACACTCCCATTATGGGGAGAGACGGAACTTTACCATGAGAGCTCCGTGGACTCCACTCCCAAGTCAGTACTCAACTCTCAGAAACCAGTGACCAAATAAAGCAGGGTTGACAAGCTACAACCCTCAGGCCAAATCTGGCCCACCACTTGTTTTTATAAATAAAGTTTTATTGAAACACAGTCACACCTGTCTGCTTCCATACTGTCTATGGCTGCTTTCATGTTAAAAAGCAGGATTGAGTAGCTGTGACAGAGAACATGTGGCCCACAAAACCAAAAATACTTACTATCTGACTCTTTGTAGAAAAAGTATACAACCTTTCAAATAAAGCAAGAATTGGTGCAGCTTCTTAGGGATAGGAAGTTTGGCATTGGATATCCAAAAATGTTTAATAGTCATGCTTGACCACTAAGAATTTATTATAGGGAAATAATCTGGGATATGTGCAAAGATATACTTGAAAGAATGTTCATTCATGAGCTAGTTATGGTAGCAGACCCTAGAAACAACCCAGGTGTCCCAGCATCAGGAGCTAGTACAATAAACACAATACATCTCTGCGCTGGGACCCACGCCACCTGAAAAGTGATCGCAGATGAGAAGTCCCATGCTCTGCTGCTGGAAGAGAAACCTGCTACATCGACTGTAGAAAACCGTGTGGAGGACCATCGGAAGCTGAACAATGTCTGCCTTGCGACCCAGTTTCCACTCGTAGATACAAACCCACAGCGGACAAGGTGCACACGTCACCGAAAGACATTAGAATGCTCAGTGCAGCAGAATTCATTGTCCGCAACCTGGAAACCACCCAATTCCCCATTTAAATACAATGGGAAAACAAATCGCCTGAAATGTATTGTGGAATAATAATCCCCCTCCATGCAGGCCAGCAGGAGGGGTCGTCCGGCAGTGGGAAGCTCGGGAAGGCCCGCGTGAGTGAGTACACACCACATGACTTCATTTACATGAAGTGGATATGAGTCTGATCTCTGGAGGTGTGGGACAGATGTCAGAGACCTTGGAGGAAGGCACTGGCAATGACTTGGTGGGGGCCCCAGGGGGGTTGGGGTGCTGGGGGTGTCCTCCTTCTGCGTGTGGGCAGTCTAGGCCCAGGCACATGTGCTGTGTGACAATTAAGCAGGTGCACACCTACAATGTGTGTACTTTTCGGTACTTATTATATTTCAATAAGATACTTTATTAAACAAAAGAAACACAAATGCCATAGGCAAGTACAGCAGAAATTATCGTCAGAATAATGTGAACTGAGAAGAGCAAGCTATACAATAACACGTGTTAAAATCCAAATTTCACAAAATGCATATATATGTGTGTATCTATGTGATGAACCTGCCGGTGTAAGTACATACATACTCAGAAAACAATTACTTCTGGACAATAAATTGTGAGAAATTGAAAACTATTTCTTATACCTTTGTTTTTTAATTTTTCTATAATAAACATGCATTGATTCTATAGAAAAAATATGGATTTTTTTTCTGTGAAGTCTGCTAGCAGCTGGCATAAGCACTGTCGGCCAGTGGGAGGGGGAGCAAGTAGGAGAGGGGGGTCTTGGTGAGCCCGACTTCCCTCCCCAGCCAGATGCTCTCAGGTCAAAGTGCAAGAGCTGGACAGGGCCCAGGGCCCAGGCCCCGAACAGAATGGCCTAGTTCACGTCCTGACCCGTCCACTCTCTAGACAGGAGATGCAGGGCACAGTACTTAATCTCTCTGTCCCTCACTTTCCTTACCTACAAAACGGAAATCAACCTCAGAAGGCCTCTCCCCAGCACCGGGCAGGCGCGTCAGCGCTCAGAGCACAGGACCTGCTGGCACTGCCGTTATGACGACGCCTCTCCCGCCGCCCTGCGCAGCTGATCCCTGCCCTGCGTCCCCAGGACTAGGAACGGAAGATGGTACAGTCAGGAACGGTGGACACGGGCTGCCGTCCTGCGGGGCGGCCATCTGGAGGAACGCCCGATAACCATTCGCTCCCGTTTCCGACTGTCCTCTTGCCCTAAGGCAGGCCCCAAAGGGGGTGCATTTTCAGATTGCTGCTTCGGGGTGTCCGAGAGAGGGCGGCTGCCTCTCTCAAAACACTCCCTCACCAGGGAGTGAGTGGGGTCAGAGCAAGAACCAGGAGATTCCGTCACACACGATCACACACGTCTTCATTCACTACGTGTAGCCCAAAGCGATTTTAAAATCGCAGCATTTCAAAAATTATCTAATAAGATACTGACAACCAGCTCTGGTTTTGTTATAAACCTCCCCCCCCCACACACACACACACACACATCGACTGCTGTCTAAAAATTCCCGCCCCCCTTAGTACATTTACAATGTTGTAAATACTGCAGGCATTTAAACCGGTTACTGTGTTATTATGAAGTTCTTGGCAGCTACCTTCAAAGTGCTTGCAGCTACTTCTAGACAGCTGTAGAAATGGCAGGGATGGGTCGTCCCCTCCCCCTCCAGCATACAGGTGTGAGCACTGCGTCCTCCGTGGGCCTGGGCGGTTTCACGTGCCCTAACCCATCAGCTGACTTTCCCCCCGGAAATTCCAGCAACACCTCTGCCTGGTTCTCAAATATCCTTGAAATGGTCCTTGAGTCCCTAGGCTTGACTCATAGCAGGAGGGACGACAGTCACGGTGCACAGTGTCCTCTTGTGGAAAGAGTTGCAAATGCCAGGCACCAAGTAGAAAACCTCACATTTCCTAAGTGAGCCAGGAAAAGTACAACGTAGACGCCAGCAACTCACTAGTGTATTCTACACCTAATGCTGCCGTATGGGTTTGTGATGGCATAGGGGTTTTTCGGAGTTGTCTGTTTTCAATATTTAATTTTGAGTAACATAATCCTAAAATCCTTCAGAGTGTGTGTGTGTGTGTGTGTGTGTGGTGTTGGTGGTGTTTCGTTGTTTTTCATTTGTTTTTGCTTTCAAAATTAGATGTGATTTCAAACTTACATTATTCTACCTTCAGCACTGGATTCTGAAAAAAAAAAATCACAAAATTACATTAGCAAAATCAGGACAGTTATTTTGAAAATAAAATCTCATCAATTTTTGTAGACTCTCCTGATTTTAATACATTGCTGAATACTGGTGACCCAGTAGGTATTAAGTTCCCCCACAAAGACATATCAAATGCCTTCTAAGCATAAAGAAAATAGGATTCATTACTTACTTTCATAAATATAAATAACCCCTGAGTACCTGGAATGTAGTAGGCACCTATTAAGTACTTAGTGAACATTGACTGGCCAGATGATACCGAAACCATTCACCCTAATGGGGGGCTCTGCATTCCCATGCCTGCCGCCAGTCATTTAGGACTTACTGTGTGCCCGCACCCTGCCAACACTATGCAAGGTATTATCTCATTTAATTGTTACAACAACCCAAGAGGTAGGTGTTAGTACAATGATATTTTTAACAGACTAGACACCATTTTATGAGCATTACCATATTTTTAACAGATAAGGAGTTATACTGCTTCAGCACTGTATTTCTGTAATTCTAAGATACTTTTTAAATTAAATATGTACCCACGGTATCAATTCATACAGTTGAGTTCAGCCCCTGCCACCAAAGACTTTAAATTGCTAACGTTTTCACTTGGTGGGCTCTTGGGCTGGAGGAAATACGAAACTTGAAAATGGGGAGTAACAGCTCTGGCCAGTTTGGCTCAGCCGTTGAGCATCGGCCTGTGGACCAGAGAGTCCCAGGTTCGGTTACCGCTAGGGGCAGGTACCACCCCCCCAAAAAAGAAAAGAAAATGGGGAGTAACAGCCACACGCCAGTCCCCTGCCGTCTGTCTCTAACGCCAATGTTCTTTACAACCTACTTCTCTTCTCGGTCTTCTATTCGTGAAGTTGTATGAGATTTAAAAAGCATTCATTTTCCTTCTTTTTTTAGATAATGCTCTCACTTATTTTCCATTCTAGTAACGTCTGCTGGTTCATACCCCAAACTGAACCTCAGAAGCAATCCTCTTTGAAGAAGAGAGATGGTCTGGTCTCCTCTGGTAACAAGGGAGTCACTACTGTTCCCATAAGGACCCCGTGCAGGTGATGGGCTCTCAGTCCCTCTACTCTAGAAGCTGTGACCCCAAGGCCTCCAGGCCAGCTGAGCGGGGTCCTCAGCCACCCTCAGTCAGTCCCCAGATAACAAGACAGAACACTGAGAAATCTCCGGGCACCAGCAAAGCAGAACATCAGAAAATACTTTGGAAAGAACTTGATGTTTAATATGTGTAAGCATGGAAATAATTATCACGGGGGAATCCAGGACCGACTGGATCCCTCACATTTAATTCCAGTTGAAGTGTGTCCCCTGTGAGTTATACCTGGCGGGGGCAGAGCTTGTAAGTAGGTTGTCACAGGCCCTCACCTGACCTGTTACACCCAGTGGAATAGAAGCAGCTCACTCTTACACGGGCTTATCATCTCAAAGTTAAGTAAAAGATAAATTCAAGTGTGGATCGCAGAAATGTTTAAAATATTACTTTCTTTAATTCTCACAACCAACCTAAGGATAGTCCTTATTCCCATTTTGTAAATGAGGAAGCTAAGAACCAGAGAATCGTGGTTCTGCACGTCCTCAGGGGCCACCAACATCGCACACCTCCCTCCTAGGCCAGCGGGGAACAGACAAAAGCCTAAAAGCAGCAGAATCCAAGCAACCGGCACGTCCTCCAACTCTGCCTCCATGGCTGGTGTGGAAAAGAATCAGCCCTGATAATCCGGGTCACTTCTAATTAAAATATAAACCACCCGATAGTTTTCATTCAAATGCCAGTCTATTTTATTTGAGTAATCTGCCGATAACCTAGAGGGCAACTCCCAGGTCAAAACAAACTCCCATCAAATCTGGGCCGACAGGACTTCACTTTTCAATCTCTGTTTCCGAGGGAGTAAAGTGACCTCCCGGAATCAATGCTCAGTCACAAACCAGCCCCACACGGGAACCAAGTCCAGGCAAATTGCCTAGGTAAGGGCAAACCACGCTCTTCGCGTAGAGCATCGTGGTGTCCGGCACACACGGGGTGCTCATCACACGGCAGTGTTCGTAAAGCTTAAAATGCAATCAAACCGACACAGAGCCTAACGTCAAAATTGTGATTTTAAGAAAAATGACTTAATTGTAGAAAATACTCAAATAAAAGTAGGCGAAGTTTTTACGAAACAAAGATAAGGACCGTCGCCCATCCAGCCCTTAGTCCTGAGCCACCCACATGCCAAAGCGCCTGTGATTCCTGACCTCAGACTGCTCACGACAAGCCCACCCCGTGTGGGGTCGTTGCTTCCACGTGTCTCGAAAGACCCCACTCAGAAGAAATGTGTCACTGTTCTGCTTTATTTTATTTGTACTATTTCTGCTAACAGGAGGCCTTATTTTTTTTTTTTTCTACCACTATGGTAACATTCGCCTACAAAGGAAGATTTGGAATTCTATAAAATAGAAAACAATCTTTCAGTGTGCTCAGAGAGCTGGGTATTATTCCAGAAAAAAATGTATAGCATCAAAATGGCAGATCACAGTAGCCTCATATCCTCGCAAACAAGCACAAAAATGGAGCAGTCGGTGTCCGTGCTGAGAAAGCTGTCACCTCGTCACCGTCACGGCTCAGAAGTGTGAAGACCTGTCCTCCCCAGAGAAATGGCCTCCTTCCTTGGGGAAGTTCTCTCCCCACTTCGAATTCCACGCATTTACTCCAAGGACTCCGAAAGCTAAAGCGCTTTGGCAAGAGCTGACGAGCTCATGAACTTCAACTGCTTGTCCCAGAAGTTAAACATACAGACACATGGAGGGGCCTGGACAGTACTAAGCTAAGTGAAATCAGCCAATCAGAGAGGAATATCACATGATCTCATTGCCTGTGGAATGTAATAAACAAAAGAAGCGGGTGAACAAAGTAGATCCAGAGACATGAAAATAGGGAACAGACGGACAAACCGCAAAGAGGGGGGTGGGGAGAGGGTTGGAAGAGATAAACCAAAAAACTAATATGCATGTATGCACAACCAATAGACACAGACAACAGGACAGAGAAAGCATGGGTGGGGGAGAGGAGGGTGTCAAAGGGGGAAAAATTTAAAATTTAAATTTAAAAAATTAATAAAGTATTTAAAAAGATATATAGATATATATATACATACAAATCCATATGAACCAAAAAAATTACCTTTTTTCTCTCTCCTGGAGACACAACAGCAGCAGATTATAATCAGAACAATGATCAGGATGAAAAGCAGTGAAAATGATACTGCAAGTAAGGCTGTGGCCCAGGTAGGCAACGAGGTATGTGGTTTATCAATACCGCCTAGAAGGTTGAAAGAGAAAAAACAACATTTCAGTGATGCTGGCCGCTGTCCAGGGCATGTCATCCCTGGTCCGCCACCCTGTAAGGGAGATTACGCTCTCCAGCACTGTTACGGCCACCCGGCCTGCCACAGCGAGGTGTCACGGGCCCACTCCCCTGCAGTTTGCTGGAACATCAGTCCTTGACAGTATCTCCCATTACAATGCGGACGGCCGCCGGGGAACACCTGCTCAGTGACCCAGGCCAGGCACTCGCCGGGTAACGCGTCTCCCGTGCCTGAGACGTGGATGAGACGGGCTGGGCAGCGGCTCCCCGGCTGCAGTAGTGATCCTCGTGCTCCGACGTCCTTTATTTAGCCAAGAAATTCTTACTGAGCAGCAACTGCTGGACAAGACTGGAAGATGGACCACTGGTTCTCGCTTGCATGTCCCCACCTGTCGACAGTCCAGAGCCCGAAGGAAAGGAGGCCAGTCTGAGGAAGGGTCACTCCTGAAGGAACCTGGTGTCAAGCCTCCGCTCTGGGGCCACCCAGCCCCACCCACGGACTCATTGCCCAGGTAGCAGTTGCTCTTTGCCATGGCCCTCTGGGAGCCGCCTCGCTTAGTCCACTTCGCCCTCGTCCTCGTCCAGCCCTCGTGGAGGTGGGGGAGGGAGAGAAAGGCTTGGGGGGGCAGGCAGGAAATGAAAGGGGGTGGGAGAGAAGGAAGGCGAGAAGAAAAGCCAGTTTGCTTTGTTACAGCCACTCCTAGTCAGAGCTGTCCAACATTGCCATGCGGCTATCTAAATTCACATGCAAATTCATTAAAAGTATATACGGTTAGCCCTGGCCGGTTTGGCTCAGCGATTAGAGCGGCAGCCCGCGGCCCAGAGAGACCAGGGTTCAGTTCCCGCTAAGGGCATGTACCTCAGTTACAGTTTGTCCCCGGCCACGGTTGGGGTCATGTGGGAGGCAGCCACTCAATGTGTCCCTTTCACATAGATATTTCTCTCTCTCTTCCTCTCTCTCCCTCCCACTCTATCTGAACAAAAATGGAAAAATGTCCTCGGGTGAGGATAAAAAAATGATAATAATAATAAAAAGTATGTACAGTTAAGTGCTCAGCATCTCGGTCGCACTAGCCACATTTCAGGTGCCGAGGCACCACAGATCCAGGCCATGCCTCCACTGTGGAAAGTCCTGCTGGACAGCGCCACCTAGCCACGCACCTGGGAACGGCACGGTGTTCCAAAGCGCCCTGACCACTTCCCCTGCCCAACCACAGTCAAACCACATTGATGTTCATCTGTTTCTAACAGCTGCCACCCCAAATGCCTGGGGGTATCTCAGTGTAAATGCATGCTGTAAATAAATGCATGCTATTTCATTAGATGCTAGTCATTAGAAAATATTAAAACAACAGGCTTGTGATGGAGGAAGATAAGGTTTGCTTTAATGTTTTTTATTTTCTTATTTTTTTATTTTTTATTTTTATTTTTTGTTACAGATATTTCTCCTTTTTTACCCCATTGACACCCTCTTCTCCATCCCCCCCGCCCCATCCCCAGCTTTGTTGTTCATGTCCATTGGTTATGCACACATGCATATAAGTTCTGTGGTTTATCTCTTCCCATCCCCCACCACCCTCTCTTCTGAGGGTTGTCAGTCTGTACCCTATTTTTGTGTTTCTGGGTCTACCCTATTCCTCACTGTTATATTCATTATATTCCATATATAAGTGAGATCATGTGGTATTTGTCTTTTTCTGCTTGGCTTGTTTCATTTAGGATAACATTTTCCAGGTCCCTCCATGTCGTCTCAAAGGATAAGAGATCTTTCTTTCTTACAGCTGCATAGTACTCCATTGTGTACATGTACCACAGCTTTTTTATCCATTCATCTACTGATGGACACTTGGGCTGTTTCCAGATCTTAGCTATTGTAAATAGTGCTATGAACATGGGGGTGCATATATTCTTTCTGATTGGTGTTTCAGGCTTCTTAGGGTATATTCCTAGAAGCGAGATCACTGGGTCAAAGGGAACTTTAATTTTTAATTTTTTGAAGTAACACCATATTGTTTTCCATAGTGGCTGCACCAGTCTGCATTCCCACCAGCAGTGCACTAGAGTCCCCTTTTCTCCACACCCTCACCAACACTGTTTGATGATTTGTTGAGGGCAGCCATTCTGACAGGTGTGAGGTGATACCTCATTGTTGTTTTAATTTGCATCTCTCTGATGATTAGTGACATTGAGCATTTCTTCATATGTCTCTTGGCCATTTGTATGTCCTGTTTAGAGAGGTGTCTATTCAGCTCCTCTGCCCATTTTTTTAATTGGGTTCTTTGTCTTCCTTTTGTTGAGATGTATGAGTACTCCATATATTTTGGAAATTAACCCCTTATCTGATATATCATTGGCAATTATGTTCTCCCATACAGTGGGTTGCCCTTCCATTTTGATGGTTGTTTCTCTTGCTGTGCAGAAGCTTTTAGTTTGATGTAGTCCCATGTGTTCATTTTCTCCTTTGTTTCTGTTGCCTTAGGTGATGTATCAATGAAAATTCTGCTGCATATGATGTCCGAAATTTTGTTGCCTACATTTTCTTCTAGAATTTTTATGGATTCACGGGTCACATTTAAGTCTTTCATCCATTTTGAGTTTATTTTTGTGTATGGTGTAAGTTGATGGTCTAGTTTCATTTTTTTTGCATGTAGCTGTCCAATTTTCCCAACACCATTTATTAAAGAGGCTGTCTTTACTCCACTGTATGCTCTTGCCACCTTTGTCAAATATTAATTGAGCGTATTGCCTTGGGTCCATTTCTGGGTTTTCAGTTCTGTTCCACTGGTCTATATGCCTGTTCTTGTGCCAGTACCAGGCTGTTTTGGTTACAGTCGCTTTGTAGTTAGTATAACCTGATATCTGGTATTGTGATCCCACCTACTTTGTTCTTTTTATTCAAGATTGCTGTGGCTATTTGGGGTCTTTTTTGGCTCCATATGAACTTCTGAAGTATTTGTTCTGGTTCTGTGAAATATGTTGTTGGTGTTTTGATGGGGATTGCATTGAATCTATAGATTGCTTTGGGCAATATGGACATTTTAATGATGTTAATTCTCCCAATCCATGAACAAGGTATATGCTTCCACTTCTTTATATCTTCCTCTATTTCTTTTTTCAATGTCCTATAGTTTTCTGCAAATAGGTCCTTTACTTCTTTGGTTAAGTTTATTCCTAGGTATCTTAATTGTTTTGCTGCGATAATAAATGGGATTGTTTTTTCAGTTTCTCTTTCTGTGAGTTCATTCATTGGTGTATAAGAATGCCATCGATTTCTTGACATTAATTTTGTATCCTGCTACTTTGCCAAATTCATTTATTAAGTCTAGTAGATTTTTGATGGAGTCTTTATGGTTTTCTATGTATAATATCATATAATCTACAAATAATGACAGTTTTACTCCCTCCTTTCCAATTTGGATCCCTTTTATTTTTTCTTCATGTCTGATTGCTGTGATTAAGACTTCCAGTAGTTTGTTAAATAAGAGTGGTAAAAGTGGACCTGCTTTTAGTTTTTGCCCATTAAGTATGATGTTGGCTGTAGGTCTTTCATATATGGCCTCATGTGGTTTTTATTCTTCATTTTGTTTATGTGGTGTATCACATTTATTGGTTTGTGAATATTGTACCATCCTTGCATCACCTGCTCATGGTGAATAATTTTTTTGATGTATTGCTGAATTCGATTTGCTAGTATTTTGTTCGGGATTTTGGCGCCTATGTTCATCAGGGATATTGGCCTTTGTAGTGTCTTTTTCTGGTTTTGGAATTAGAATTATGCTGGCCTCATAAAACGAGTTTGGAAGTCTTCCTTCTTCTTGAATTTTTTAAAATAGTTTGAAGAGAATGGGTGTTAGTTGTTTTTGTTTTTTTTAATGTTCAGTAAAACACCCCCATGAAGCCATTTGGGCTTGGGCTTTGTTTGCTGGTACAGTCTTGATTACCTCTTCAATTTCCTTAGTTTTTATTGGTCTGTTCAAGTTTTCTATCTCTTCCCAGTCCAGTTTTGGGAGACTGTGTGTCTCTAGAAATTTGTCCATTTCACTTAGATTGTCGCATTTGTTGCCATATAATTGTTCATAGTAGCTGTTAACGATCTTTTGTAAGTCTGTGGTGTCAGTTGTTACTTCTCCTCTTTCATTTCTGATTTTGTGCATTTGGGTTCTCTCTCTTTGTTTCTTGGTGAGTCTAGCTAAGGGTCCATCAATCTTATTTATCTTTTCAAAAAACCAGCTCTTTGTTTCATCAATCCTTTGAATTGTTTTTTGGTCTCTATGTCATTTATTTCTGCTCTGATCTTTACTATTTCCTTCCTTCTACTTCCTCTGGGGATTTCTTTTTGTTTGCTTTCTAATTCTTTAACTTGTTAGATTAGATAGTCAATTAGAAATTTTTCTTGTTTCTTGAGGTAGGCCTGTAGTGCTATGAACTTTCCTCCCAGAACTGCTTTTGCTGCATCCCATAGATTTTGTGTTGTTGTGTGTTCATTTTCATTGGTTTCCAGGAAGTTTTTAATTTTTTCCTTGATCTCCCTGGTAACCCATTCCTTGTTTAATAACATGCTATTTAGCCTCCATGTGTTGAAATGTCTTTGCATGTTTTTCTTGCAATTGATTTCTAGTTTCATGACATTGTGATCTGAGAAGATGCTTGATATGATTTCAATCTTCTTGAACTTGGAGAGATTTAGTTTGTGTCCTATCATGTGGTCTATCTTTGAGAATGTCCTATGTGCACTTGAGAAGAATGTGAATTCTGTAGTTTTGGGGTGTAATTCTCTGTAGATATCTATTAAATCCATTTGGTCTAGTGCTTCATTTAGAGTCTGTGTTTCCTTGCTAATTTTTTGTCTAGAGGATCTAGTGGTGTCAATAGGGTGTTGAAGTCCCCTGCTATGATTATATTGCTGTTGATTTCTCCTTTGAAGTCCTCCAGAAGATTTTTAATATATTTTGGTG